ACCATAAACACTCACTGAGATATAAATTACTTGTTTTGATTCAAATATACTTAATTGCATCTATAATTGAGCTCTAACTTTATGTAATGTGGGAATATAATTTTAGTTACTGGAACATAAAAGCAATGCCTCACCTGGATCAACCAGTTTTAACATAACGCCACCGTTAAGCTTAATGTCTTAAAGACGAAAAAGTTATTTTTTAACACACCGCGGCTCGACGCAAACTGCCGACCAGCAGTGTAAGACACTTTTGTTTTCAGGCCACGGAGATGAAAAGAAATAATTTCCGTAACACTCACTGAGATAGAAATGTATACATCTCAGTGGCAACATTGTATCTTTAAGACGGCAAGCCTCGCCGCGGCTGTAGAAGTACAGTACTTTACAAAGGTTTTTGCAATTTTCTTATCGTATCAGAGCGAAACCGTGTTATAGGATGCCGTGTTGTAGGAGGGTTCGGGCAATTTACGAATCGTGTTATAGCGAAACCGTGTTATAAGATGCCGTGTTGAAGGAGGGCTACCTGTACTTTGTTAAACATAAAGACGAAGTGTTTGATAAGTTCAAACAATATGAAAGTCTAATAAGAACAAAGTTTCACAGAAGAATAAAAGTCTTACGCTCAGACAACAGTCGTGAATTTTGCAATTTGAAAATGAATCAGTATTTGGTAGCAAAAGGCATCCAGACGGAGAATACTGCTCCTTACACACCACAGCAGACCAGAAAGGCTGAACGCGACAATAGAACAATTGTAGAAAGTGCAAGATCAATGTTCAAAGCAAAAGGATTGCCAAACTTGTTATGGGCCGAGGCAGTGAACACTGTTGTGTATGTGCTGAACCGAACTGCGTCCTCGGGACAGAAGGCTACTTCTTTCGAACTGTGGCATGGATGGAAGCCTGATTTAGGACACTTGAGAGTATTCGGTTCTCAAGTATTTGTGCATATGCCAAAGCAATTTTGTAAAAAATTTGATTCACGCGCAAAAGCAAAACTATTTGTTGGTTATGAAGGTGAATCAAATAATTACCGAGTGTTTGATCCTGATACCAGAGATTTCTATATTTTATTCAATGAAAACTTGAAAGCGACTGAAGAATCCACGGATTCAGACGAGGAGTGTCCTGTGAACCTAAGTTCTGAAGTCCGAGGACAGGATGTTCGTGAGGATACCCATCACAAAGAAGCTGGAAAAAATAAAGTTAACGATGAGAGAACCTCTACACAAGAAGATTCAACTTCACTTCGCTCATCAAGTGAGCATACACGCCGAACTTTACGAGACCGATCTATGATTCGTCGACCAATGAGATTCGAATCAGATATAGCAGAGTATATGACTCCGACCTCTTATAATGAAGCTATGAACAGCAGAGATGCCGCGCAGTGGGCACATGCTGTACAAGAGGAGCTTCAGGCTCACGAACAAAACCGAACATGGTCACTTGTTCCCAAGTCGCCTAGTCAAAAAATCATAGATTCGAAATGGGTGTTTAGGATCAAAGAGGATCCTAAAAAGAAAAACGTGAAATTCAAGACAAGATTGTGTGTAAGAGGCTTTATGCAATGAAAGGATATTGGTTACTCGGAAACGTTTGCATCTGTGATGCGCTACGATTCACTTCGAGTAATGTTAGCTTTGGCAGCTACTGAAGGTTTGGAACCGCGACAGTTCGATGTGCAGACTGCCTTCTTACATGAGAAACTAGAAGAAGACATCTATATGGAGGTTCCTGATGGATTAATCATCAACGAAGATAAATTGGAGAAAGGAGACGCAACTGCGAGTGTAGTGTGTAAACTTGAAAAAGCATTGTATGGGCTAAAACAGGCCCCTAGATGCTGGAATAGAAAGTTTGTAGCTTTCTTGAATCAGTATGAGTTTGTGGCTACTGAGGCAGATCAGTGCATCTTTTTCGGCCTATTTAACAGTGAAAAAGTGTATTTAGCGCTATTCGTAGATGATGGCCTGATAATGGCAAAGTCAGAAACTGTAATAGAGACAATTCTTAATATAATGAATAAATCGTTTAGCATCATGATTGATAATGCGTTTACGTTTGTTGGTGTACAAATAGAGCGCGATCGTGAACATCAGTCACTTGTAATTCATCAAACTGCGTATGCTAAAACGACAATTGACAGATTTGGAATGAGTGAATCAAAACCTGTCAGTATGCCTGCTGATTCACATGCAAAATTGTATCCGGTGGAAATGGGAAATGAGAGTGTGAAAATGATTCCTTACAGAGAGGCTGTTGGTTCTTTAATGTTCTTAGCTGTGGTCTCAAGACCGGATATCGCATTTAATGTAAATATAGTCAGTAAGTTTACAAATAATTACAATGAGTCCCAGTGGCAAGCAGTTAAGCGGATTTTTGCATATGTAAATGCCACCATTATTTATGGTACTGAGTTTCGAAGCGGCGGTAGCAGCGCAGTTTTAGTAGGATATTCTGATGCAGACTTTGCTAATGATGTAGAGACAAGACGTTCTATAACTGTTTTGACTAGTTAAAAACGCAGAATTTCATAAGCGAACAAAACATACTGATTTAAGATATCATTATATGCGAGAAAAGACTGATGAGAGAGAGATTTCTGTTAAAAGATTTCCCTCTGAACTGCAGTGTGCAGATGTGTTCACTAAAGTACTCACAAAGGAGCGCTTTAAAGCATTTCGAGAAAGTCTTAACATGTATGAGATTCAACGAATGCACTCAAACAGCGGTAGTGTTAAAGAATAAGTTTGATGTTCATTCGTGAATTAGGCTTAAAGTCTAATATTGCCGAACCGAGATCGGATGGATCCGGTAATCGTTGTTCGCAACGCGATTACGTAATCTTCGTTTCACCTTTCTTTTGCGGTAACGGTTATTACGCTCTCAGTCTCATATGTAACACCAAATCGTACATGCGTAAATCTGTTCTAGTTTATCGAAGACTTTATACTCATAAAAGCTCATCTATCTCTTTCTCAACAATCCATTACGTAATTCTTGTAGAGTTTGTCAAAAATCAATCCGGAAGCAGAATTTTACCTTATCGAATAAAACAATATTGTTATAAATTCACGATTGTCATATGCGAAAGTTCTGAAACAATTTAATATGAAGTGGGAAGTTATTTAGTCGACTTGTAAGGCAACTGTTCTGTTTTATAGTATTCACTTAATATTATCCCTGACTGTATTGTCAAAACCTTTCCAACATGGAAAAATTCCGTAATTCAAAGTTTATGAGGATGAGGACGTTTTAGGGGGTAAATAAAATTCAGATTTGAGCCAGGCAATTTAAAGATATTTATTGGCTCGACAAAAATGATTAGGGGAAAAAGCCATGTGGCATAAAAAACCCCTTGAATGAATTGTATGTTGACAAAAGAATCGATGAAAGTGCAAACGGTCAACTGTATGAATGTGTGTATGTTGTGTATTAAGAGCAATTGCACGTGGGGCAATTGTTCTACGGATCATGTGTACGATCGCATTAATCGGCATCGAGCCGTCGTAATGAAAATCAGAGTGGTTACACGAAGTAACCACTCACGGGTCATAAGTGATTATGACCGCGTCCCTCAATATCGAATTGAGACAATGCATAAGTAGAGTGGTTACATGGAGTAACCAATTCACGGGTCGTAAATAATTACAACCGCGTCATTCAGTATGAAACTGAGAACCTGTGAAGGTAGAGCGGCTACACGGGTAGCCACTCACGGGTCGTATGTAGATACGACCGCGTTTGATGAAATTATTCGGGATTGACCGATCCCGCACTCGCGAACGCACTATGACACCGTTTACGATCCGAACTGCACCGATTCCTCGAGACGACTGATTCAAAATTATATAGTGATCGGCTGAGAACACCCGCACGAGAGGGGAAAATGTTTAAACAAAATACTCGCCATGAAAGGCAAAGAAAACTGTTGAGTTATTTACGACCGCACGTGTTTACGTTAAGACCGATACGAGAAGACATTAACAGACAAAGACCCTGCCCCGGCTCGTATCTCGAGGCATAGGGCTATTCCCGGTGGTCTACGGCCCGAACCACTTGAAACGAAAAAATCCTTCGGTCGCGGTTAAATTGTTACTTCCGCGATCGGACAATTGTTGTGTGAGTGTCTACACTTAGATTTCTCCCCGCAGCTTCACTGCGTAAACTGAAACAGGAATTCTCTTACCGCAAGGGTTGATCAATACTTAGAATATTGTAATGAGTAATAGAGGATGTAAGACTCAGCTTTCTCTTATCATTACCCTGACTTTCCCGAAAATCATGTAATTTACAAAAACCACTATTTTTCAAAAACAGTACGTGATAGAGCATTTCGGTTTCGTCTTTGACATGAGAAATTATATAAGAATCACGTAGTGGACATTGCAAAAAAATTATAGGTTGGAAGGTGTTATATTTATCTTATTTAATTGAGCTGCAGCGACTTAACAGAAGTTCTAGATTAATATTGGATAACGAATCTATTCGCGTTTCTTTTTACTATTCTCACTGATCTCTACTTCATAGAAAGAATTCTTTTTTTTTGAAGGGCAAAAAATAGCAAATATAATTAACGAAATTTTGTTTTCTGTCTCAGGTTACTATCGTGTGAACTATGATGTAGAAAATTGGGAACTGTTGATGAGAGAGCTGAACAAGGGAAACAATACAAAAATACACGTGCTGAATCGTGCGCAGATGATCGACGACGCGTTGAACTTAGCTCGTATTGACAGTTTGAAATACACGGTAGCGTTGAATGTTACCCTTTATTTAACGCACGAAGCCGATTACATGCCCTGGCAACCAGCGTTCAGGCACTTGAGCTTCCTGAGGAACTTGTTACGCACCTCCGAAAAATATCACACTTTCATGGTAAGAACTGCAAATACAAAATCAAAGATGCAAAATGGCATTTATTTCGTTTCTTCGATAAACGCAAAGCCTTCGCGAGAGTGACTCATCATTAGATTGCGGTTGTTCACACATTTCTGGGAATTTTGAATAATTTAAAGTAATACAGTATGCAGTAAAATATAAGGAAATATAATATATTCGACGTAAAATACAATTTATAAAATTTAAAGGAAAAAATGAATATTTATATGCATTTCAGTTCTGTACTTTT